AAGCTGGCCAACATCCTCTGTGGACTTCAGTTTCACTCATTATCACATCCTTGCACGTGGTGTGATGTCCCATCAAATAACCTTGCACAATCTGGAAATCTTCGCACCTTTGGGTCTCTCAAATCATCCTGTTAAGCTTTTGATGCTGCAGGACGTGAGATGAAAAAGGCAAAAGAATTCGGAAATGTGTTTCATCCTCCATTACTTGCTTTGGATGATGAGCAATTGGTTTTGGATCTAATTCCACCTATGGAATTGCATCTGCTGCTTGGAGTTGTCAATCACCTCTTCAAGATCTTAAAGTCAATGTGGCTGCATGCTGAAAAGTGGCTAGATGCTCTTCACATAAAACAACAACCTTTCCACGGAGGACAATTTGCTGGAAATGATTGCCACAAGCTTCTGAAGAACCTGGATTTGTTGCAAAATCTTGCAGAGAAAATGTCCTCAATTTATATTTGTCCCATTGTCAACACTTTCCGGAAATTTAAAGCTGTGGTCAGTGCTTGCTTTGGGTCCACATTATCTTCTGATTTCTCTAGAAAAGTTGACTTATTCAGAGAAGCATATATGGCAATGCCATCTGGTAGCGTGACTCCAAAAGTGCATGCAGTGTTCTTTCATGCGAAGGACTTCATCCAAAAAAAAATACTGCTTTGGGAATCTTCAGTGAATAAACGAAAGAAGCTATGCACCATCACTTTCATCAACACTGGCAAAGATACAAGAGACCATCAACCCATCCAGAATATGGAAGGCAACTTCAAACATGCATAGTTGACTTTAACAGCAAGCATCTTTAAAGGCAGTTTTGAAACAGGAGCAGAAGACTTATTTAATTAAAAAAGTTTTGCATTATTTTTGTTACAGTCTTTTTGTTAGAATGTATTATTGTTTATTTTTATCAAGCCAGTGCTGTAAAATGAATGAATACATATGATATCATTGAAGAAATAAAATTATCACTAACTCAAATTTGTCGATGCTGTAAAAATGCAAAAAATGGGTATGCTATCATTTGTCTAGTTGCTGTAATATAATAAAAAAACTCAATTTGTTTTCCGAGACGAAATAGTTGGATTTCAAATTTTATAATTTTGAAATCCTGACATCAAGGGCTTTCATATGCACCCAGCCATTTCTCTGGGTCAGCTATATACAGTTATCATGAATTCTGGCTGGGGGTGTATTATTTACTCACAACAATATCAGGTCGTACATACAACATATCTGATTTAGATTTGGAGAATATAAGCAATTGGTTACAAAAAAAAAAATTAAATACATTTAAAATAATTTTATTGTAATTTTATTAACCTATTTTACATTTAGAAAATTGTCTTTCTTTTTTTTTTTCCAATCGTTGGATGGAAGGGGGAGGGGTTTTTAAATCCGGCTGTCCACCTTATAATGTCAATAACTATATTAGTCTTAAACTACTAAATAATACCAAGATATTGATTGGTAAAATGTTTTAAAAAACATTTCAATATCTTTGGTTTTAAAATTTATGATTTTTAAAATTATGAAAAGATCCCAGTTTTGAGTGCTTTCTTTGAAATAAGAGGTAAGTAATTTTTTGATTTGAAATAAGGAAAATAAATAACCCTTAGTCCAATCTAATTTAAAACATTTGCATTTAATTAGCACTCTTTCTTCTTCTTATTTTTTTGTTACAATAACAGTGTCTTCAAAAAAGGATTGCAGTTTATAATTATTGTTTTTTTTGGAAAATGACTTTTGAATCTTAGTTACAACAATAATGCTTTTATAAACAATTCTGTAAATTCAATAATTCTTTTATAAACAACTTTGCGAATTTTCATTAACACTGTTGTGATATTATATGGTATTTTACACCAAGAGTATTAGGAAAATCCTCTGTACTGCATGTCTGTTTAAAAACAAAAGAATTTTTTTTTTCTAATTCTACTATAACTTTGTATTAAAATTTTATTAAAATATATATTTTAATACTTTGTATTAAAATATATATGTTCACATTTATAAAAAGAAAGTTCTGTTTTATCAAAAACAAAACGACTGTTTTAATACAATATAACTTATATTATAAAGTTGACAAGTTGTTAGCCATTTGTATATTTAAAATATAATCTCAAGCACTACAAAAAAATTAGTGAACTACGCAAATTAAATAAACACATTTTTGTAATCAAAAATAGTTAATTTGAAACTTAAACTTTGTATTTTTGATTTGATGTAGTTTACACAAGAATTTTTAATTTTTCTAATCAATAGTTATAAATAAAGATAAAAGTAAAGTGATTTATATTTATGAAAAAATTATACTCTTGCGAGAGCTGTAAATTGCTCTCGTAAACCACTTTAGTGGAGTGTGGGCAAGAGCAGGTGGTGGGTGTACCAAGCCTTGTTTTAAATAAAAAACAGCTTAGCACATTAGCTGTTCATTATTTAGATAATGGTTAAATAAATCATCAAATTGCCTTTCTTTTTTTATTTATTTAAGGACATTAACTTTTTTTAAACTACCACAATAAAATAAATTACTGCAAAACAAGTTTAATTTACTAATTAAGAAAAACAAATCTAGAAGTGTTATTTTGTACATATTGTGGAGTGTTTATTTTGTTTCTTTTTATTTTATTTTAATAATTAAATTTACTATTACATCTTTTATTATCATTTAGCATAAATTAATTTCCTTCTTTTCAAAAAAATATTACTCGTTGCAAAGAAAAAAACTTAAGTTAATTACTTTACCAGCGTTTTTTTTTATATAAAAAAAATTTAAGTTAATTACTTTACCAGCTTTTTTTTTTTATATACCGTTGTGGTTTCATTGGCCGTACGACAAAAAAGTTAGACGTACCCTTTATGAATATTTTTGATGCAATATTAAAGTTATAACAATTTTACAAGGAATTCAATTTTTTGTAAAAAATAGAAAAAAGAAAAAAAAAAATGATTAAAAAAAAACTACTTTTTTTTTTTTAATTTAAATAACTTATTTAATCAAAATTCTTTTTAAATTATAAGGAATTTTCTGTTTTCACATTTTTGATATTGCACAATCTGTTAATTATATAAAGCTGATGTAACTATTATAAAATATTATTTTTCCAAACTATTATTTTTCGCAAAATAAAAATTTATAAATATAAAAAGAGACATTTAAAGAGTTATTGCTTCAAGCCTAAATTCAATGAAAAAAAAAATTAATCATAGAATTACATCCATAAAAAAAGTTTTTTTTTTTTTAGTTATAAAAACATTAAATCTTTATAAGATGTTGTTTTTATTTGGAACTAAAATTTTTTCATTTTTTTTGTGGATAAAATCAACTATTATAACATAACAAACAAACAAAAAAATTAAGATATCAAAAGTGGCGCTAATATAAAATAAAGTTTAATGTGTATAATTTTTTAGCTAATAATTCTTTGTTTTATTTTTTAAAAAAATTCGGTAATTATTTTTGATATTGTTTATGAGAAATTGTCTAAAAAAATATTGTTGCACTTGCAAGATGATAGATAAAATTTTTAAAATTATATTTGTTTTATGATTTCTTTTATTACGCGGTTATAAAATTTTTCTTTTTCTTTTACTGAACATTTTTTATGGAAAAGCTAGATTAATAAAAATAACATTTTCTTTGTTTTTTCTTAAGTTATATTTGAGAAACATTGAGAATTTGTGCAATTTTTTTGTTGGGACATGTTCTGCTACTTGTGCAGTTTATTCTTTAAATCGCACCATTTCAGGCACTAATTTATTGTTTACATATATTTTATTTATTATTTTCATACATTTTATCATCTTTTAAATTATTTAAGAAATAATTAAGGTAAAACAAGAGAATATTTTAATGAAATTAGTTAAAAACTAATTTGCATTTTCATCAGACATACCTTTGTAATCTTGCAGCTGACCTGATCTCGTTCCAAATCAACTTCTAGCTGACACAGAAATTTCCAACTGAAAATAAAAACAATCAACAGCCAAGTCTCTCAATTTTATTGAAGAGAGAGATACAGCCAGCTGAGGTGTTGAAAATAGTTATTAAAATATTGCTAATGATCCCTAATTTTCAATGAATTAACAACTTGATGTACTTTTAATTATATTGGGTTATAAGATCAAAATCGTTAAAATTTATAAGTGATTTCAAACTTTTTGTCAGAACTTTTTAAATCTTGTCAACAAACCCTGTGTCATGAGCAACAACTTCTGCAAGGTAACAAAAAAATTGTTTGAGAAATGTTTTCTTTATTAAATAAATTATAATTGTAAAAGCTGAAAAATTAACTTTTGCTCCAGTAATAACATCCTGAACAACAAGTTGATAGTTTTCAGCAAAATTTTAAAAAATGAAACTACAATATTTGTAATAACTTTTCAAGTAATTACTTGGTCAGGTTATCAATTCTGTCACATATGAAATCATTTAATTTATTTGATTGTAACAGTTGTAACATTTGCTGCACTGTCAATATTCATCGCTTAAATAAATCCTTTTCTAAATCTAGAGACAAAGCTATTTACTAACTTTAAAAGTCTACAAATAAAACATTTTTAAATTTCTAAAAGTTATTTTTTTGTTATGTTTCTAAATTGTTTTTTAAAAATAATTTTTCATTATCAATTCATTTTTATGTAACTTTAAGTTGTTGTTTATTAAAAATGCTAAGTTCTTAAGTAACATAGTGACTCGTTAGGTCTATATTTTACCTAAGACTTTTTTTAAAGAAGTTTGTTGATGAACATAAAAAGGTTAGGTTATCTAATGCTAGAGCTGCTAACCTCCACTATTCATTTGCTGGCAATATTTTTAATAACTGCTGAGAGAGAGAGAGAAAAAAAGAGAAAGAGAGAGAGAGAAAAGAAAGAAGAAAGAGTTTTTAAAAATATAAACTTCATTTTGATTTGAACTTTATTAAATCAAATAAATCTTAAAAAAAAAAGTTTATAAATTGTATTATTGTATTTTCAAAAGCAAATTTTAACTTTTTTTTAAGGACCAGAACCATCAAAAATAAATCTGACCCCAACACTGAAATCAAAGACAATGGCTAAAGACAAAGAAATTTTAAAACCTGTTAAATTTTCTGTATACTTACCTGATATTATTTGTGGCATGAAAGAACTAGACAAGAGTTTGTTTAATATTAAAATCAATGTACCAGCTATAAAGTGCAATGAAAAATCCTGCGGTAAATTTCAAAAAACTTTTAAAAATGTTCTTTTGAACAGGCCACATTTTCGAAGCATAATTCCAAGTAATTTACTTAATTCTAATGAGAGATTTATTTTGCTTAATCCTGAAGTTAACAATTTTGAACTTTTAAATGATGATCAGCAGAAAGTTTTTATAAATGAAAATGGGGAATTTTGTCAGCATGAGCTTCTTTTAGAATATAAAGACTTTAGTGCTGAAGAAATATTTTCAAAAATTTTTTCAAATTTTGAAATTGAGAATGTGAGCTCCTTTGAAACAGTTGGACATATTGCTCATTTAAATCTCAGAGAAAAACTCCTTGACTATAAAAAAGTAATAGGTAAGTTTAATTTTATAGTTTTTTATTTTATTTTATTATTTGATTTGTACTTAACTATATTTTGTTATAACAGGTCAAGTAATTTTGGATAAAAATCCAAATATTGAAACAGTGGTTAACAAGGTAGATTCAATAGAAGAAACTTTTCGATATTTTCAAATGGAACTGTTGGCAGGTCTTGATAAAATGAACACAACTGTTATTGAACATGGATGTACTTTTCAATTTGACTATTCTAAAGTTTATTGGAACTCTCGTTTACAGACAGAACACAAACGATTGGTTGATCAGGTCAAAGAAGGTGATATAGTTTTTGACGTTTTTGCTGGTGTTGGTCCATTCTCGATACCGATTGCAAAAAAAAAATGTTTTGTTTATTGCAATGATTTAAATAAAAACTCATACCTTGCTTTAAAACACAACATCACACTTAACAAACTTAACTCTTCTTTGATAAAAGCTTATAATATGGATGGTAGAGATTTTTTAAGAGATGTTGTTATTAAAGAAATCTTGAAATCTTCATGTCACTTACCTAAAATGTTTTCTATTCACATCATCATGAATCTTCCTGCCATTGCTCCTCAGTTTCTTGATGTCTTTAAAGAAAATAATTTTACCAATGAAATGTTACCTGAGTCAATAAATAATATTTTTGTACATTGTTATTTGTTTTCTAAAAGTGAAACTCCTGAAAATGAAGCTAAGCAATTAGTGAGTGAAGCTGTTGGCTATGATATTTCACCAAAAGCAAAAGTACGAGTCGTGAGAAGAGTTGCACCAAACAAAGTTATGCTTTGTGTCACCTTTGACTTGAAATGGTTTCATTTACATTCAGTTAAGCCATCTACAAAACGATTAAATGAAGGTATTTTTTTTAATTTTACATTTGAATTAATACTTAACTACATGCTAACATTTAAATCAATATTTAACTACATGCTACAGGGTGGCCAGCGGTCCTTGAAAACCGTGAAATGTCCTGGAAAAGTCCTGGAAAAACACCCCTTTTAGCAATAAATCTTGGAAATCCTTGACCTTTTTTCTGAAATTATGATTTTATCTTTTACAGAAATATTATTAATATTGCGTAGATTTCTACTGAATTTATTAGTTGTGTATTTTCTGACTTGCAAAAAAATGTTTGTTAACCATCACTGGGTTGGGTTCTCATCCAACAAGTAAAAAACATAAATTTAATACAAAAACGCATAATGCAGCAAATATATTCTTTACTGGTAGTTTATTAGTTTTTTATTATAATTTAAGTTTTTTTTACTTTTATTTATGTTTTCCTGAAATTCGTAATGCTTGTTGCAAATTAATTGGCTTTGTTCTATTAGTAACTTACATAAAAGTTCTCCTAATTTAGAAAACAACTACTATAAATCTTGTTACCAAGGCAGAAATAATATGGAGCTTAAATGTAGTAATATCACATTTTTCTTTAAGATCGTGCTTAAATTTAAATGAAATATTCAAATTCTCTAATAATTTTCTGACAGCACAATAGCATCAGTTTGTTTTCAATTCCCATGACATTGTTATTCATCAGAATAAGCTTCCCAGTAATCTTTTGAAAAGCTGAAGGTTAGCATAACATAGGTACAATTCAGTGTTGAAGGAAAATAAGAATCATTTAAAGGTAGATGAAAGCAAGAAACTAAAATTGATTGATGAAGAATTTTTAATTTTTTTGCAAAATGCAGGCCTCAATTTAATTTTATGAAAAGTCCCGGACAAAATGTCCAATTAAAACTTGTTTGGGTTGGACAGTGTTTGATCAAATTTTTAAAATAAAATATTTTCGGTTTTATAAAACCAAGCTATGCAATTTAAATCTTTGTCATGTTATTCATTTTATTTAATGTTAGTCTAGTGAAATTGTAGTTTTTTTCCTTATTATTATTTATTTAGAATATTTCATCGCAGATTTTTGTTTTTTAATAAAATAGTTTCAATTTAATATTGTATTTTTTTTAGATAAACTTTTAGATAGATTTTCATGCTATAACTGACAGCGCTTTTTTTTTTGTTTACAATTTGACAACAGCTGTTTTGATGTAAAATAAACGCATTATGCGTAAATTAAATGTTATATAAAAATTTTTTTTTAGTAGGTATGTATTTTTAAGACAAATTTAAACATTTGAAACTATTTTTCCATGTCTTTCTAAAAATCTTTTAAAAGCTTATTTTTTAAGTTACTTTAAATTATGAATAAATTAAGTCTTCCCATTATTTAATTGCTTTATTATTATTTTTTTTTTGTTTCTATTTTTACAAAGAGTTGTTTAAAGGTTTTTTTTTTTAAACTTGACTTAACTAATTTAAACATGAAATGATTAAAAATTACGTTTTTAAAAAGACTATTTTTTTTTTAAACAATTTTTTTTGCAACTTTAAAAGAAATGTTTATACAACTAAAAAATATTATATTTTTTTCTTTCCAATATTTAATTTTACTTTTCAATAATTTAAATAAAATTTATTCATTTATTAAACAACCAATAGAAGTAATTTGTAAAAGCATTATATGTAATTAAACGTTTTAAAAGATGAATTTTAAAGTAATTTTTTTCAAAAACAATTAAAAACCTAACAAAAAGTAATTTTAAGTTCGAGTTTTTCTAGTTTTATTTTAAAGATAATTTATTTTCTTTTTTGTAAGGAATTGTTTTGCTTATTCTTTTAGTTTTTTAATTTTTTTTTTCGTAGTTTAAGTTTAGCTTGGCGTCTTTTTATTCAGCGCATTTCTCAAATGTTTAAATCATCAAAACATCTAAACAGTCATGGTCAAGTTGTAATTAAAAAAAATCATTTGCCTGGTCAGCAATAGTATTTGATATAATAGAATTTAATTCCCGTCGGTCAAAATGTCCAATTACTTTGTAAATTGATTGGACGAACTGAGGTTTTAGTCGAACATTGTCTAATGTCCAACCGTTAAATTGAGCCCTGAAAATGCATCAAAGTTCTTAAAACTGATGCTGACAAGTTAGTTAATTGAAGTTATAGAAAAGCAAAACTTCACTATCCTTAAGAAAGCAAATTCCTTCAAAAACACAATTTTAGAAAAAGAACTAGAAATTAAAAAGCTTGATATTTCACTAAAAAAACTTAAACAATCTAAAAATTAAATAAAGTGTTTAACCTAGTGTATCTATATATATACAATATAAAATATTTTTTAACTTGTAACATACTATATACGACTATATTACAACATATTTGTATATAAAACATATTTTGAAGACAATAAATTTTGTTTTTTTTTCGGGTCAAGAAACCTTAAAAAACTCCAAATTATCCTTGAAAAATCCTGGAAATATCCTGGAGTTTTAAATTAGCTTTTGGCTGGCCACTCTGTGCTAACATTCAAATCATTATTTAACTACATACATTCAAATCAATACTTAACTACATGCTAACATTCAAATTAATAGGGGAGAACCTTAATGAATGGGACAGTTTTCAAGAAATGCTTTTTTTAAGTTGATAAAAGTGTTTAATTTATAAATTGAAAACTGTTTGATAATCATTAACTCTTGCACTATGATGTCGTAAAACAAAAAAATCAGCTCTGCATATGCCTATTGGTAAAAAGAGCAATTTATTGGACCAGGGGATTCATCCCATTCATTAAGAACTACTCATTGAATGCAACAAAAAAATTATTGAATGGAACAAATATAAAAGGTTGAAAAATGATAAAAGCTCAGTAGTAAGTTTCAAATAAGTTAAGCAGTGAAAGTTGTTTCTACCACTAGGGATGTCAAAAAGGCTATACATATGGTATAGATATTTTCAATAGGAGTGCCATGATAAATTTTTATTTTACAGAGACTTAAATATGTCGGCATATTGACAAACTTAACAAGTTTTTATTTAAAAATATATAATTACTTAATGAATTTCATTTAAAATAGAATATATGATTTTTTAAGTAAAACAAAATAGTGTAGTAAAGGATATATTTCCATTAATATAAGGTAATTGTTAGCTTTTTAAGTATCTAATTTACTTTAAAAAACTCGACAACAAAGCAACTTATTATGTTATAAAAAATTTAAACATTTGTATTGCTTTTGCAAAATATTAAGTAGTTAAAATTTAGTATGTTAAAGGAAGTGTAGAAGGTATTAACATTTAACTTCACATAACTTGCACTCAAAGTAATGCTTCTTGCTGTTGCTATTACAACTACCATTGACAAGTGAAACACTTAATCCAACCAGGCCCAACAAAATTTTTCCAGTTGCATTTGCATTTGTTTGCAAATATTTTGTTGTCGTTCGTTGATGGGTGCATTTTTTACAGATGACACAAATAAAAAATCTACAGATCAATAAAGTTAAAGAAACAAAAAAACTACAGAGTTTTTTTTGTTTCTTTTACTTTTCTGAAGTCAATTTTTAAAAATGTTTCTTTATGTTATTTTTACCAATTTCAACATTTTTTCTCTCATTTACTGTCTTTTCTGGAGTTTTAGTTAATATAGTACTTTTAACTTGTTGTCTTCTTTTTCTAGAATCTTTTCTGGGAGGTGCTTTAGGGTATGGATGAATGGTTTCTGGACTAACTATTTTGACTGATGATTCCAAAGAATCAGGTTGATTTTTTTTTTGTATAAATGATGATTATCTGGTTGTTGAATTTCTGACTACTTGACTGAAAGAGGTTTGCCACTAACACTAGATGGTATGAAATCGCTTTCCTTAAATATTTGTCTATTGAGTTGATAGATCCCACATTTTTGAAACCCACTGCAAACATTTTTTATTGTGAATGACATATTATATGCTGTGCACGCTAGTTGAGGCAAATTATAAATGTTCATAATCCTCTCTGGATTGGAAGCCAACCATTCATTCTGAGCCAATCTAAAAATAAGAATTAAAAGGTCCAAATACTGAAACATCTAATGGCTATAATCTATGACTGCAGTGTGGCGGAAATGTTAACAAAATCAAAGAATTCTTTTTTGCAAAACTTATTAATTTAAATGAAGTTTGGCTTTGTGGTTGTCCATTAATAACAGCACTGGATGATCTGCAGATGGCTTAGTATGAGATACAAAGTGCTTCATTGCAAATAAAAAGTTGTTAATTGTCATCCAACCACTTTTGTTACACAACCCTAAGCTTCCTCTTCGCGCTCCACTTAACAAAAAATCCTTGTAGTTTACTCTTGGAAATATAAATACAGGTGGAACTGTATTACTCATAGCATTCACGAAAGCTAACATTGTCACCAACGACCCTCTTTCTGCTGAAACAGCTTGAAAAGCTCGCTTAGCTCCACAAGTTGAAATAATTTTGAGGGTATGTAACTGTTAATGACCCTGTCTCATCTGTATTAAAAATACATTCAGGTTTGAACTTATATTTTAATTGAACTTCTAACAAATTATCAAAAATATGGACACAGTATGTTCATTAAAGGCAGTTGCACGAGCAAGGCTGACTTTTTCTGGTTTTGGTAGAGATAACTTTTGATGACGCATCAAAAAACTGTCCATCCATTGCTTTCCTGCCATTTTATTTAGGTGCCATGTATCAGGTATATTTTTAAAATGCAATGAAACACTATACTTGTAAGTTAACTGCCTAGTTTGTAGTTTAGTTAAACCATAACACATATTTGAAGACATATGCAAATAATCTATAAGAGCACTTAAATAATCTATAGATGCATATCGAATTGACATACCCTTAAGAATGCTTTTGACTGCATCTTCAACATTTAAAGATTTTTTCGAATTCATTTTGTGTTTGGTTTCATCTAAAAGAATTTAAAAAATTTATAAAAATCAAATAAATGTAAATGTCATAGGAAATTTTATTATATGATCCAACTATGTACACATTTGTGCAAGTATGTAGTTTGTATAAATACAATTACAAACACAAAACTGAAAATCAAAAGTAAACCAATTCCTCAAATATTTAAATGTATATAAGTATAATAAATTACTACAGACTTTAACTTTAACTATAACTAAATGTATATTTTATGGTACAAAAGAAATTCAAAGAATCACAATAGTTTGTTAAAATAGTTTGTTAAAATCTATTTACAAGTACAGCTCTTTTTAAATCTTTTTTAAGGACAATCTTTTTATTATTCAAATCTTTTAAAGTTGTTATTTAATTGAAAATATATTGATTGATTACATTGATTTTAAAATCACATTTAAATTTTAACTTATGCATTGGCCACACTCATTAAGAACCACACTATCAGAACAACTAATAACGTTAAATGAAATAAAAAATATGTGAAACCATAACTAAGTTGCCAAAATAATTTTTAGCACTTTTTTTTCAACAGTTTGTTTCTACAAGTCCCATTCAATAATCATTACTTTGTCCCATTCAATAAGCATCCCACTTTATCTATAAAAGAAGAGTCAGACTAAAAACAAAATTACCTTAACGTGAATGGTTTAAAATTTCTAAAACTAGAGACAACTGTTTTTTTAAAAATAGAGTTTTTTCCATAAATTCAGTAATCACTGCAAAATCAGAAAAGCAAAATTGTTTTTTAAAATTACTTTTTGTTCTTTAAAACACAGTATCAACTAATGCCATTATGCTAAGGCCATAATAGAAATGATGATTCGATCTAATGCATGGCTGTATCCAACACTTTTTAACAAAGAAGTTTGAATATCTAACCATAGATGCTTCTATGAGAATTTGATTTTGTCCCATTCAATAATCGTCTCATTCATTAAGGTTCTTCCCTACTTAGCTACATGCTAACAATTGAATTAATACTAAATACTAAAAACTGCTAAAAAAATGGTTGATGTAAATGTATTATAGTAGATTTTTGTAAATTTTTTATTTCAATTTATGTTAAGCAATAAGTATGTTTACTAATTATTCAGAAGATTGTGTATTCTAAATAACGCATCAAATAATATAATTACAAAAAAAATTGAAGATAAAATAGGTTAATAAAATCTGATAAGTTTTATGCATTAGCTATATAATGAAAAATCAACAAATAGGTTTTATATTAAATGAATAGCAAATCGTAACTTGTTAAACTTTAAAACCAAAGGTTATTATTTGACTTAGTTTAATTTTGATTGGCAAAGTCAAAATAACTTCACCTGTACTTAAAGTTAATAATTACATTCAGATCTTTCCGTAATTGGGTCAAAAGGCATTTTAGAAAAAAATGAAATTCATTAAAAGTTTGAAATTAGTTTTTAATATAAAATTTAAAAATGTTTTTTTTTTTTTTTAATTAAAAGTTTGAAATTATATATAAAAATTTTTACTTTTGAAAGTTTGTTGACTACATATTTTATGTTTAAATGATTTATGTAAAAGCAAAGCCAATATTTCAAAGGAAAGTATAAAATAATGATATACAAAGTAACATAATCAGTAAAAATGAAAGTTACTATGAAGCAAAACAATATTGAAAATAATGCAAAAATATAACATAAATACTAAAATAATGATAAAACCAGGTAAAACAGTAAAATAAAAAACCATAAAATAGTAGTACAATAAAAGAAAAAAAAAAATTCATAGATATGTAATGATATCTTACAATATTAAATGAGTGTACCCTGGCTACAACTGATAAGTTCAAAGATGTCTTGCAACATTAAATGAGTGTACCCTGGCTACAACTGATAATTTTTAATATTATAAATGATATAACTCATAAAATCCTCATTGATAAATATTTCAAAAATTGATTTTACTATCTTTTGTTTAGTTCTATTCATATAAGTTTTGCTGTTTGTTTTTGTTTTTTGTTTTTAATTTTTACTACTAATAAATTTTAATATTAATTTGTAACTCTCTGACACATGTTGATAGCAATTTTATTTTAAAATTAAAGTGTAGCATATATCCTAGTGAAATATTTATTAAAAATAAAGCAATAATAGAGAACAGCAGAGCATGTGTTAACAAATATGAATAGGATAATTATAGTGAACAGTGTATCAACATAGGTTTGTGTCAATAAATATTTAATACCAAGTAAGTACTCTAAATGCTCAAATAAACTATGTAACAAATTTTTATTTTTGTTTTGTCTTTGGATTAAAAGTGAGATTTCCTAACCTGTTTTGCCAAATATAAACAAAAAAAAGATGTTTTTTTCCTTGTTCCCAACACTTTGCTAAGACAACAATATTTGAAATTTGTGTGTCTTTGAGAAAGTTGTTGATTTGTATTGAATACTGAGCATTCTTCTAGAATATTTCTGAACAGTAAGAATAAAACTGACAGCATTGCACACCACTTTGAAAACACATTTCCATCTAAGTAGAACAATTCCTAAAGCTAGGAATGTTAGGCGACCAAGCTAGGCGTGGTCCTTTTAACAAACTTTTCTGGTTATCTAGAGCAAATGAGTCAAATGAGTGTTGGGTTTTAATTACCAACATAATTTTCATCATTGATGCACCTGTAATAACAGCTGAGCATATGTATATTCTGACCATTGACACAAAGCAAATCTTAATACAATCTTGACACTTTGTTTTTTTGTATTTTATTTTGTAAATGACTAATTTAAATGATTAAAAACAGAACAAATATAAATAAAAAAAAAACTTTACAAAAGACAATGTTATCAAAGTTATTTTTACTTTTTTTAAAATGAAAGAAAATTTTTTTTTTAAGATTATAAATGGGGCATAGCCCCAGTGCCCTGGCCCAATGGACCTCTGGTCGCCTGCCCTGGAAAAATTTTAACACACGTTCATTAGGACTACACTAACGCTGAAAGTTATAGAGCTCCAATTTGTCTGAAAGGTAGTGAAAAATCTATTGCAAGTTTTCGCTACAAAAAAGTGGGGCACAAGCCCAGGCTCCCCTCTGGCATTTTGAGCCCAGGAAACAAGTTTAACATACGCGTTTATTGAAACTACACAAATGCTGAAAGTTTCAGAGCTCCAGCTAGTTTGGAAGGTAGTGAAAAATCAATCACAATAATCTGCTACAAAAAAGTGGAGACTATTTTATTGGAGTTTTTCAGGCAGGTACAAGTTTTTAAGTAAAAGGAACAAACATTTTTAAAGTTATGTCTTAAAACTTCTAAATAAACATTGTAATTCTGAGGGGACAAGAGGGGCCTGGTGAATGTCTTTTAAAAGTAAAATGGTCAAATTTCAGGATCTTCTTGGAGCCAGAGGCTAAAATTTTACAGGAATTTTTACTTTATTAGGTACTCTCAACTGTATAAAAATCAATAATTCTGAGTAAAATAAATCTAAGATGTATAATGACATGGCTTGGGTCAATTGACATGGAATTACCCTAATATTACTAAAAATTTATTCTAATAATTTCAAATTTTTAAAAGTACATAATAGACTTTATGTAACTTTTCCTGAGATTAATAAAACAGGAAAAATATGTGATCAGTGACTAGGGTGGAAAATAATGACTGGTCAACAGTCAACAACCTCCCAAAATGAATAAATTTGCTATTTTGACCTTTCAAAATTAATTCTTGCTGGTCATGGTTGACTGGTTGCAAAAAATCAGAGTTTTGAAAAAAAAGTTTGACAAATAAACAAGATGTAATTTGGAAAACTTTAATATAACATATAGAAAAAATATATTTCAATAATTTCATTTAAATTAATATCCATTATTCCATATTCACAAGGATTCAAAGAGCAGAGCCCACTAGGGATGCAGAGTCCTAAAAAGGACTAGAACCAAGTATTTGAAACCTTGATTCATCGTTACTTCATTGAAAATTTTTCTAGAACTAGAGGTAAATGTGGACTAAAATTTATTTTCATGGTTTGTATTATAAGTGAATAAAATAATTGTAAAGACTGCTGCATTGATCAATAAAATTTCTTTATCATTATTTTGTTCACATTATCCTATTCAGTAGAAGTAGTTGTTGCTTTTAACTGCATAAAGTTTAACAAATTTATCTTGGGTTACTTTTAACTTTAACATTAACTGCCAATAGACTATGTTAATACTTTTGTAATTACCTATTTTGTTTTTCGTTATAAGCAACATTAGTTTTAAAATGATGAAAAGGATAAGAGGTCCTAATATAATTTTATTTTTGTTTAAGTGCCATTTAAACATTAAATTTAGTTTATGTCAAATTTAATTATTATCACGATTAAATTATTAAATAATAAAATAATTATTTGTTTTTAGGTGAATCTCTAGATGATCATGAAGCAAAAATAATGAAGATAGATTAGATTAACAACACTATAGTTTTTGAATAATATAAAATGGTTATTTCTTTTTATAGTAATTTATATTACTATCAAAAGAAAAAACCATTATACAGTCAACTCTCCTATTACGCGGTATTTCTACAACGCGAATTTCCATACAGCGCGGAGTGAAAGTTGGAACCGCTCACCTATAACGCGATATGATCTCCATATAACGCGATTTTCGTAAGAACTTTCTAATACGTTATTTATGCGAAAAAAATCAACAACTGACAACAAATCAAATGACTTGAAAAAAATCTATGACAATACTTATTTGACGTTTTCCCTGTATGCATTTAGAGGGTATTTCCCTTTTTCTTAATTTGAATTACGTATTAAACAATTAAAACACTATTCCTTTTAATTTGGTTTGTGCTTAAATGTGTTAAGTGACAGAATTTATGATAAATTGTTTTGTCTTAGAATTTATAATAAATTGTTTTGTCTTATTAAAATTAAGTTACTGGAGATTATATAAATACACTAGTAAAATATTTTATTTTCTACAGTATTCAGGTAAAAAAAATTTTTTTATAGGTTAGTGTTATTTATCAAATTATTGTTATATTCTTTTACTGTCTCTGAGATATTATCTTCTTTTTTAACTATTTGAGGTATCAAAGGCCTCCAACATGCATTAATAATATAATTAATGCATGTTGGAGGATAATTTGATAAATAACACATATTGTTTCTAGTTTTGGCAAGGAAGGATTTGCAGATATACAAGTGCAAGATATAGAACAACTACTTCAAGAACGAAGTTTAAATGAAGAAGAATTAGCAGAGTTAATTGATGAGTCTACATCTGAAACATTTGTGGAAGAAGACACTAATAACAAATCTGCTTTAAACTTCACTTATGATTTAAATAAAGGGCTCGATTTGGCTAAAGAATTAGAATTCCAGTTGACCCAAAATGATCCTTCAACAATACGCAGTGAAAAATTTAAAAGAGAATTTCAAAATTGCTTAGCTCCATACAAAGAGGTTTTGAAAGAACTACAAAACAAAACTACTTTTGAAAACCAAGGAGAAAATTTTCAAAGTGAAGAGGATTATCAACTAATTAGAGGAAAGAAAAGAAGACGGATTGGACATCTAATATTTGACAGCGATGACGAATAAGAACAGAATTTACAATGCATCATTTTAGTTTTTTGTTGGAAACAATTTTTTTTTAAGTTCAGTTTTTAATTTCTAATTTAAATAACTTACCATATACAATAAAATTAGACTAAAGTAAATTTATTTGTGCATAATTTATTTATTCCTAAAAAAAACAAAAACAAATTATTTATTTCTAGGATTCTATACAACGCGGTACAAATCGATTCAATTTTTATTACTTCTATGTTTCTTATAACGCGGTTTCTATATAACACGACAGAGATTTCCATATAACGCGATTAAGGTTATATATTAAAAAATATATATTTTGATAATTTGTATGTTCCTCATAACGTGGTCTTCAAAAAATGCATCTGCCAAATCAAGTTCTTATAACACGGTTCCCATACAAAGCGGTACGAATTCATCCCGTTATAGGAGAGTTGACTGTATATGGTTATTTCTTTTGATAGATTTATATATGTGTGTATATGTATATGCATATATATATATATATATATATATATATATATACATAGATCACGCTATATTAAATATATGTAATATATATATATATATATATATATATATATATATATATATATATGTGTGTGTATATATATATATATATATATGTGTGTATATATATATATATATATATATATATATATATATATATATATATATATATATATATATATATATATATATATATATATATATGTATATATGTATATATATTATATTATATGTATATATACAAATATGTATATATACTAATATATAAACTACTAATTTGTTTAAAAACAGTTTCCTATGTGAAAACAGTATAAAATTTTATATACAGTTCAGCTGTCATAGTTGACCATATTTATTTGGTCAGCTTCACTTTATGCCACAGCTCAATCTTATTATATACATATATATATTATTATAAACATACATGTTGTGTAATACTGAAAGCACTGAAATAGCTTGCTGTTGGGGGCTAGAGTACATACGTCAACTATCTTAAAGCCTGCTGCCGCAAAGGAATGTTACTACATCGAATGAGAATTTAGGACAGAGCAGCAATCTTTTCTTTCATTAATCTTTATTTTTTTCTTCTTTTTCTGAAAAAGTTGTATGCTTTAAAGATAAACAAAAAGCTGCCTTCTATAAAAATAAGCAATTTCTGATCTATATACGCTTTAGTATATATATGTGTGTGTGTATATATATATATATATATATATATATATATATATATATATATATATATATATATATATATATATATATATATATATATATATATATATATATATATATATATATATATATATTAGGGTGCATCACCACATTAGGGCAAAAAATTAGTTGTTTATTTTTGAGCTGTCTGTGTTTCCAATGTGTTCCAATGTGAATAATAATAACTTGAGTGAAATATTTGCCAAATCTGAGTAAATTTAGAGGTCCCCCATGAGAATTTGAAATCCAGGAAACCAACCGCAAGACACAAAGTTGATCGACTAGTAAGTTTTTTCATAAAATTCAATACTTATTGTCCTTTAATGAGAATAATGACTATAGTAATAAACCTAAATTGTTTTAATTGTATAATGAAGGCAACTGAACAGATAAAACCAAATTGAGATCACTAAAATCATTTTCTATTCAATTTTTTCTACAAAAAGCACAAAATCATTAACCAAAAAATGCAAAAATCATTGACTACTATGACTAATACTCAGTTCTTTTTTAATAAAATTTAATTCTCATTGCAGTTTAAGGTCTAATTAATGACTAATTAACTATAGTAATGAATCTTTATTTGTTTTAATAGTAGTAGAAAGATGTCAAATGAATCCAAAATTAGATGAACTTGTTATGTTTATTCCTTCTTGCATCGTTTGTGTCGCAAATTTGGTGTCTCTTTCTGATCTTTCTCGACCACTTGAAGAATGTTTTGATAATGCTCATCCGATCGTGCAGTTTCAACAAAGTCCGATGCCAGCTTGACACCCCTCTCGGCACAATCATTCACCACGTTTACTGCTGCACAATTTTCAACACTGCCAATGTAAACAGGTGTCTTTTCCCATTCATCGACCGAAAGTTCCAGAAAGCTGGTGTCTAATTGTAGACGGTAAACTTTAAACCAGGAGTTAACTCCAACCAGATCACTCAGTTGTGTTCTATGATCAATGGACAATGGAAAATGTGGCTTGCCCCATCCGTTGCCAAATCGATTCATTGGAGCTTGCAGATCACTTGATGGTTTCAATTTGAGCAAGGCATCTGCAAGAGCTCGTCGTTCCGTTGATGGTACAAGCTTACTGAACAGTGCAAGTGGCACCATTTCCTCAGTGAGATACCACAGGTGCCGATTCAGAGCTCGAATTGCTGACTGCAAAATCACCTTGTCCACAGTCTCATACTCTAGTAAACATTTGTAAAGCTGTAAATCATTGTATGGGGAATCAACCGTGTTCCTACATGTGAGCCACCACACACTGTAAACATGAGTAATAAACGTAGTGAATGCTCGTATCTTCGGCACTTGGTGACGAGTAGTGATAGTTCCTGCTGGTAGTTCCGCAATATGTTTCTCTAGAAGTGCAATTTTCAGGCCGTTGATCAGCTTTGCCATCCAATGAGCCTTGTGAAGAGCACCTGGCCTTCGGATTTTTACTTCAACCTTGGAAGAAGATAAATAAACAAGTGTGAGCTCTGTGAATTCACGGTAGTCATCACGCAGGCAATCTACATCTTCAATTGCACGAGCGATCACCTCATCCTTCATCTTCGACAGCAGCTGTTGGGCCTCCACGTCATGATCAGTTGGACAAAATGGCAGTATCTGAGATGAGTCGTGTGGCACTAAATTACACAGTTACTTCGTAGCCTTGTGAACACTGTGACTTCTGGTGACTTTGATGCTTCTATCTTGAGATCAGTAAACACGTGAGATAGAAGTACTTCACCAATATGATGACGACATCCTGACCAAAGGACAGCACGTTCCAGCTTATCTTGAATGGCAATGCAAGCTGCAGTTAGGTGACCTGTATTTGAGCTCGTTGTGTCGAATGTCATATGAACAATTCGATCATTACAATGCCACTCGATCATTAGGTTCATTGTTTGCTTGGCAATGATTTCTCCAACAGATTGATCTGTACCCTTGAAGTAACTAGGCACTCCCAGTAGCTTCAACTGCAATGCATCACCAACAACCACCGTCATACGTTCTTCAGTGACACGATTATTTGTTAGAGTTGGTGTCAGCTTTCCATCCCAATGCAGAGTACAGAGTTTTGGTGGTTCCCAGCTATTGTGAATTTCTATAGAAATTTCGCGTACAACCTTGCGTCGTGCGCGATCTGCAGTTGCACACGAAGAAGCAACCATAGATACATCGCTACCAGACTCAGCTATGACTCCTTGTGTGAATGCAGATTGTTGTGTTGGCGTCATCTTCAGATGTATTGCTAATAACACAAGGTTTGGTCGGCTTAGCAAATCTGGTGGTATGAATGACAATGTTCCTTTCGGTTTTATACGGTTTGGTTTTTGTACCTCCATTTCTTTTGATGGAGATCTAAATTCTGATTCCATGTCATCTTCAGAAGCAGACTCGCTTGGCTCATCACTACATTCGTCAGTTACAACTTCTGGCAACACAGTCTTGGTTGATGCTTCAATCTCACCACGAGCACGCTTCAGACGTCGTAATGCTGCAACATCACAACAATGACGCCGATTTATCTTCTGAGCAAGCGCCTTGTCAAATACCCCAAAACTTGCGGCTCTATCAGTTTTCATTGACTGCAGGAATGCAAGATCTTCATCATTGTTCATAAGACTATCCACGTTGGCCGGCCAGAGTTGGAAAGTTGTTGCCAACATGGACTGCATCTCAAGAAGCTTG